AGGACACCGAATACTCTGCCTCAGTCCATAGGGGCGCATTTCATTCCTCTGGAAATTAAAGTGACATTACTTTTAGTGGATTTGGATACTTAGGTTCTTCTGTGTGTTGATGCCAGATAACAAACAGCAAACAGCAAACAATATTGACAAAAAAAAGGAGGAAAATTAGGATCAAGACGTGCACTTACTCTTTGGCAACAACTCTGGGTGTGGGTTCAGACAACATTACTGAATCAGGTCTGAAACCACATGGTTTCCTTGTTTCCTGAGCTTTAGGTCTAGTTTCGCTTTTTTTTTTTAAACTGCACTTAAATAATGAATAAACAAGACACTTCACTGGTTACGGAGAAAAGTCAAGCAAGTTACAGAAGGTGAATGCTGAGATTCTTGTGATTTACCTCTCAGAAGATAGCAGAGTAATTTTTGATTTTTATGAGCCAGCACTCAAATCCTATTTTAAACATAAAGACAAGGTGCAGGAGATTATACTAAGCAGTCACACCTGCAAATGAAGTTTGCTAATTAGGCAATTAACAACCCCTCTTCTGTAGGGAGCTTCAGCAGACAGCTCAATGTCTTTTTTTCTTTTTGTTGTTGCATTTTGAGTGTCGTCTAAGTTAGTAAAGGAGTAAATTTAGTAAAAGAACAATAGCAAAAAACAATAACATTTTATTATTTGAATGAAAATGGTTGCAGTTTATATTTAGAGGCTACCACATCCAAAATAAGTACAGAAAGAAAGAGTTTGATTTTTACATAGAATTCCCCGATTTAGAAATGTTGCTGTTATACAGTCATCTTCCCAACATTAATGAAATCTGACCATGTTTCAGGAAGGCTTACAGACTTACTAAATTTCTATTTTTTTTCTGTGTTGCAGGTGGTGATATCTTCCTATGAAGCTGCTCGCTCTATCATCATTGAGTTTGACATGGATAACAGCATCTTCGGCCTGCCCAGAGAGTTTGTGGTGGCCAGTGCAGGTAAGCATGTGGATGAAAGGCCTGTTGTAACCAGTGTTGACTATATGCATTATGTGACATGTCCACATAAAAGTATTCCAACTTGTAGTTTCATGTCGATGTCTTGATTTAATGTTGCTAAAAACCTTTTAACAGTTACCATACTTTGTAGCTCTTACGATGCAACTCTTTGTTTGAAAATTGTCCTTGTCAGTACTGAACTCCCAGTTCAGTACTCAGTTGTTGACAATTTCATGTTTAGTGTGCTTAATCATCAAAACTAAATGGGAATCTGATTACTCCGTTGTCAGATGTGTGATGTTATAATAGCCTTTGTAATATTCGCCCAGCTGGAAACTGTATGCAGACTTGATGAATCGTATATTTCTCTTCCTCCTTGCAGCTGCCTCCATGACGGCATTGGTGGTGACGGCGTGCATCATCTGGTGTGTGTGCGCAGCAAAGTCTAATCGCCAAAAAGACGGCTTCCACCGTTTACGACAGCACCGAGATGAGTATGACGATGAGATTCGGCTCACTTCTATGGGCTCCAAGAAGTCGCTACTTGCCCACGAGTTTCAGGACGAGAGTGAAAGTGACGAGGAGACACTGTATGCCAACAAAATCTGAAAAGTGTTGTACTAATTTGGCTGTTGGCTCCACATTTTATTTTGATCTCCACTTTTTAATTTAACCCCTGGTCACCAAGGAACTGGTTGAACTCTAGGCAGCATCTCTGTCTCTCTTTATGTCTGAGATAAGAGAGCGATAAAGACACTTTGTTCTGTTATACCATCAAGTTCTGAGGCCTCACTCCCCACCACTCACTTATTAGTGGTACTAAATTAATAAAAAGAGAATCCTGCTGGTGTCTGGACTGAAGGGTCTCTACCTGACTGGATCAGGAGGAAAAAGACAAACAAGGTGATGGAAAAGAGAAATAGGTTTGTTCCACTGTGGCCCTCATCTGTCCAGGTTTTGAGGCCCACAGCTCTTTTATTTCCGAGCCACGCAAGAATGCTCTTTTTAGACCACTACCTGTCCTGCCTGGTTAAGGGGTTCCAGCCGATAAGTCCAAATAAACTATTGTTTAGTGGATGTATAATGAACTCTGGATGCAAGTGCTTAATCTCACACAACCTTCCCACTGATATGATGCATTGTTTTCAATAATGCATTAAGTTATAAAATTAAAAAATGATTCTTTTCAAGACAGCATTGCCACATTTGAAGTGTCCGAGCCTTTTGGAGACTGAATCCAATACTGTGCCTTGGCTTCTGCAAGTCCGCTTGGGCTTTAGTATGTAACAGAAAGCAGCAACATAGTGAAAAGATTATACTTGGTCCATGTTGGAATATTATCCATCCTATACTCAGGTGGTAGGAACGTTGCACAGTTGACTCTATGCTGGCCGGCCTGGGTTCAGTAGTTTTTGTATTTTTCTTGGGAATTTTGGCCAAAATCACAATGGGGGAGAGAGCTTATCAAAAGCTTTAAAGCATCAGGGAGACTTTAAAAATGAAATGCTTGAATGAAACACTTCCCAGTAAGTGCAAGGTTCTCTAATGCATCAGTCACTTGCACTAAATAGAAGGCAAGGATTGACCTATATCATTGGCCAGGGAAAAAAAAACTCCAAACTATGTAATCATAAGAAGAATGTATTTGTTGTTTTTCCCTTTATTGTTTGTTAAACTATAGGTTTTGTTGTAGGGCAATTTCTGTACATGGAAAGTTACTGCTGACTTTCATGCATGTCACATTGAGTCTGTGCCCTGTCTGTGTGCATTTTCACCATGTCTATAATTTCTCACAAGGAATATCAATTCTGTTTTTATTCCCACAGTTTAACAGTGCTTTGGAATGCAAAGGTCATACCAGGGTTGTCCGTCCATTAATGATCAATGCCAGAGCCACCTGTACTACATGATTTAAAGGTCCAGTGCAAAGAAATTCCCATTTCCCAACTTTTCTCAACTTATTCTAAAGCAAAGGGCAAATTTGCAATCCATTCGACTGTGAAATGTAACTGACCTTTCGAGTTGAGACCCTATTTGTCACACAAAACATTAAAAGCTACTCAGTATATAACAACCATTGTGGTATAAATTTAGTTTGAGGGTTGATATGCACTGCTAGAGAGGCTCTAAATCAAAGGTGTGCAGAGATGGAAGAGAAATGGAGTTAATAGAAGAAAGGAAAAAGTAAAAGATGTGTTCCTGTGTAATCCTGTGCTAAAATGTCCAACATGGCATAGAATTTTACTTTAAGCATCTTCTAGCTTATCAGACGAACTGCCGAAAACCACATGTGATGTTTTATTTGCATCTGAAATCCATGTGTAACGATTCCTAACTGAATTAAAGTTCTTGCACTGGATCATTAAAATCAGATCTTAGATTGGGAATGTTATGCGTGTTTTTCACCACATACAAGCTTGTTCAAGACTTTGCCTTGGTTTCCAGTTACTTTGAGAAGAGATTTATTTTCTTCTCCTTTAAACAAATACAAACAGCTGTCATCATCATCACAAGTTAAACCTGATATCTGTGTAGAGAGACAGTTTTGTATATTTTTCTTTCCTATGCTGTATCTGAGTGCGTGTGTATGAATTTTGAAAGTTGAGCGTGTGTCAGGGTCACGCAGTGATGAGAAGATTTTATATAAACTGGAATCAACTGTTAATAATGTTTGCCAATTGTGAATGGGAAAACAAATGCAATTCATGTTAACCATGAATATGCACAGAAACTCAAAACAATAAAACATCTTACAACTTCTCTCTTGCTTTTGTGTCGCATTCTTTCGATAGTATCGTTTTGTGACACTTCAATAGATCGTCAAGCCAAAGAGTCCTTGATGTTGGAAAAAGAAGCTGCACTGGGAGGGTGGGATTTATAGGATCCAAATTGCATCAAAAGATAACAAATATTGTTAAAATATAAAAGGCTGATTGGGTCAAGTGTAGTCTTTTGACAAACTGCTCTGTAATACTCACTGCTGGTTATATGATGCAATATTAACATTAACAACCTTTAAGATTTCTCTTAGTGATTTTCAGGTTTGCTGAGTATTGCATGTAACTGAGTTTTAACTGAGTTCAGGATACAAACCAGATTAGTTCCATTTAGTAAAAATGGGGATAATTTAGTAGGATAACAATTGTAAAATACATACATTTGTCTTTAAAAATACATGAGCTCAGGACACATTTTTGATGCTAAATATCTTTCCATTTCCTACTTTTTTCCTAAGCTTACATTGTTATTAGTTTTATAGAATATGCTTAGCATCTATACTTCTTACTGATATTTCTTTTCTCTTATCTTCATTTGCATGTTTGGTATTAAGGGTAAACCAAAAAGCAACAGAAAATGATCAGGTTACATTACTTATATTAATAATATTATAATATTATGATACTTGGATTAGGTTACTTACTACATTTTTTAGCAGGTAATTTGTGATTATATTGGATTACATTTTTAAAGCCTCCCAACCCTGATAGTTTTAGATTAGGTTAGATTAGATTGAACTTTATTGTCATTGTACAAGCACTAAGACAACAAAATGCAGTTAACCATCTAACCAGAAGTGCAAAAAGCAGTGCAAAAAAAGTGCAGAGTAATATACATATGTACAAAAAATAAAAAAAAACATTATATATATATATATATATATGAATGTACTACTAGCAAGATATATACAGTGTGAACAGCATTAACAGAATGAACGGAGTGAAGTGAACTGAGATAAATACAGCTATTAAGTTACAATACAAAAACACAGCAGTAATATTAAAAATCACAGTCTGACAGTATACATACAATAATATAATCAGCATGTTCAAGATTGTTATTTCTCAACCAACAGGATACTCCTTTAACCTGTAAGCCCTAAAACGGCCTCTAGGCGGCGCTGTTTCTATACTTGGTGGTGGCACACACACACACACACACACACACACGTGGAGCCTCACAGTCTCAGCTGAGGGCCTTAAAAACACGTCACTGTGTTCGCTACGTCAGTTGGAACGTCTTCTCCTGACACGTGACCCAGACCCGGAACTCGGTGACGTCCCAGAACAACAAAGATGGCCGGGATAGGAAGCAGCAACTACTGGGAAGGTAAGGGAGCGAAATGAGACTCGATTCACAGTAAACAGTGTGTGCAGCGACGTCTAGTATGTTGTCATGTTGTCAGCAGTTCATTTTCCAGTGTGGCTGCCGGCGCGTTTGTCCCACACGTCCCTGGTTTAAACATACGTGTCCCTACAACGACTAGCTAGCTAACACGTCGCCATGTAAGGTAACGTTATTAATTAGGCTGCTCTAAAGGGTTTATCAAGGGGACACACTGAGTCCACTGAGTCCACTGAGTCCACTGAGTCCACTGTCACACTCACTAGATGGTCATTGTAATGTTAATGATTGGCAAGTTAGCTCGTTTAGCTTACTCAATTGGTGCAGGTGGAATAAGCGTTGTTGTGCTCATAACGTTACTTTGGACTTTATGGCGACGAACTAAAACCGATCTGTGTGTTTTGATCTGTGTGTTTTGAGCTGTGTGTTCCTGTGTTCCTGTGTTACAGATCTGCGAAAGCAGGCCAGACAGCTGGAGAATGAACTTGACCTGAAGTTGGTCTCCTTCAGTAAACTGTGCACCAGCTACAGCAGCTCCAGGGATGGACGCCGGGGAGACTCGTAAGTTTTCTGTCCCACCTTCAGAGTCAACCACCGACAAAGCAGAAGTCTGTGTAGATTATCAGACATACAGGTGATGACATATTTAGAGGTCCAAGTGCTTCTGACTAATATTGGGTTAATGAAGGTAAGGACACATTTCACCTGATTGAGGTTTATAGGTTGAGTTCCCTTGATGTGATGGCTCAAATAGTAATCTTACATATGAAACAGGATTATTTGATTAATCAAATAGCAGTTAATAGACAATTAATCTGCAATTATTTTGATAATCTATTTATCATCTCTGTTTTTTTTCCAAGCAGAAATGATAATGTACATTTTTCACTATTGTTTTTTATTTAAAGACCCAATTATTAATCGTCTGATTAATTGATACAGAAAATAATTGTTAGCTGCGGCCCTAAGTAATTAAAGTCCTTCTCATTTGTGCTAGTGAAAGGATGCCTACCTAAAACCTATATAAAGGGAATAATCTATAAAAGGGTGTCCGTGATTTGAAAAAAAAATCACAATCACAGAACAAAAATTATCCCAACATTTGTTTAACAATCTCAAAGATCATTTAGGTGCACGATGTGGCCCGAGTTGTAGTGATCAGAGTGCCTGGACATGTGGTAGGAAGGTTGCTAGCACAGGAAGGTGTTGGCTGCAGGAAGGAAGTGTCTATGAACAATACATTGAATCCATACCAACTCCATGTGTGTTGTTCCCTAGCTGTAACAACCTAGGAGGGAGGCATGTGACGGAGAACTTCCCTGTAGAGATCTTGCACATCTTTCCTTTGGTTATTAAGCCACTGCTTTCTGAGCTGTGAGGATGAAACTTTGACTAGAATCAGCCATCTGCATATGAAAGATTCTTTTTAGCAAGTGGTGCTGGTTCTATCTCCTATCAAACAACAAGTTTACATCCTTACACATTAACTGAACACCACCCAGCCAAGAAACTACCATAACTACCCATGTAGTACATTGAGTACTGTAAGTTTCCCAGAGGATTGTCTTAGGTCATACATACTTTGGTGGCTAAGTGGATGGTGTTAATAAGACATTTTAAATTATTTATTAATTTATTATTTTCATTTGGACTTACAGACTACACTATTTGATCCACACAATCTGCGAAACAACTCAAATTAGAACCGAATATTTTTTAAATATTTAGCCACAAGAAAACAGTAAAAAGGTTCTTTTGCAACATTAATAAAAAAAATTGTACAAACATACAGCTTTCAGTCATCTAATTGCTCTCCATTCTTTGTTTCTCCTCCTCAAGGTCAGACACCACCCCATTGTTAAACAACTCTACCCAGGACAGGATGTTTGACACCATGTCAGTGGAGATTGAACAGCTGCTGGCCAAAGTAAGTAAATTCTCATGGGCCAGTGGCCCGTGAAAGGCCAGCAAAAAGACTGTAATAAGAACAGCATTGGATGTATGGCTTGTTTTTCATTACGTAAGGAGCAGACTGCAGGCTCTACTTCATGCTGAACCTGATGATGCTTAAATGTATTAACATGTATTCAGTTTAACTCAAAGATTTAGGATTCATAATATTTCTTTCATTCCTCCTGAGGCAGTTTAAAGGTAGACTATGCAAACAACAACAACAACAGGAGAGTAGAATTTAACTATACAATATCATTCCTGAAGTACATGAGATGTAAAAAAAACAACAGCTACGTTATAATAGAAATATTCTGCTGGTCTGATCACAAAAAGATACAATGCATTGATCCCTATAAAGTGCGATGAACGATGTATTAAAAAGTGTATGTCCTCCAATTGGTGCATGTTGTATGTTTATCATGTTTTCCATGCTTGTTGTATTGGGACTCTGTGTGGGTCTTTATCTTCTGTCTGTCCATCCATTTATTTTCCATCTCTCTGTCAGCTGACGGCAGTGAATGACAAGATGGCGGAGTACACCAACGCACCGGGCACAGCTTCTCTCAATGCTGCACTCATGCACACGCTCCAGAGACACAGAGACATCCTACAGGTTTGCCCTCTTATTCTTCTTAGTTTTTTCTCTTTTATTCTTCTTGCTTATCTATTTACTATTTTCTTCTATGTGTTTTTCTTTACATTTATTGTTTTAGGTATTCTCCAAATGAACCCCTTCTTCATTCTAAATTTAATTTGCTTTCTACGCAGGATTACACACATGAATTCCACAAAACCAAAGGCAACTTTTTGGCCATCCGGGAAAGGGAAGACCTGCTAGGATCTGTAAGGAAAGACATTGAGTGAGTACCACCTTTATGATTAATTTGACCATTCAATGCACAGAAGTATTGATAACTCATTCAGTAAATGGCCAGCACACAGTCTCTCGTTGTCTTGCTCACACCAAACTGTGCACGATATTGTATACAAAACAAATATTATGTGATGCATTACTTGTGTTTGGTCTTAGTGACAATGAAGGGAAAAAATTCCTTGGAGGGATAGTTGAACCTTGACTTCTACTTGGCACGCTCTGGGAAAATGTTGGCCATTAAAACGTAAGAAGATTCATGGCCTCTTTGGCCTTGTATTGAGAAAGGATGTCCTCTCCTCAGATTGGCTCTGTTGTGAGTGTATTGAAATGAGATGAAGGCTCCCCCAGACCATGACTCCTGTCGAGTTTTTTTTGTAATGGCTTATTGATCTGTAAGACGCAGCAGTGAGCCTACGGTGTGCACTGCAGGATTCCTATTGATCCCCCTCCATCCAGCGAGTCTGCAGATAGCCTGCAGATACCTCACACAGTCATACGTGTTCCGTAGGCCTCACCATCACTTTACGGTAGATCGTAACTCTTTCTCATTAAGATCTCAGAGTGCAACTTTAAAATTTAATTCTAACAGTGTTGTTAAATCCAGAGACTTGATAACACCACATACATACTTTTTCCCAAAATATTACTGGTATTATTATTGTTGTTGTTATTGCTGCCATTATTTGTATGATTGTTATTGTAAGATAGGGCCCATTAATTCCAAAGTTAAAGAATGATTATTTATTTTTGTAAATTAATTAATTAATTTCCAGAAGACTGAGTTAAGCAGTTTATTATTGATCCCTGTAGGGAAATTCATTCTTCATTTGACCCATCCTAAGTATTAGGAGCAATGGGCAGCCACTGTGTGGCACCCGGGGACCAATTCTGTTTCTAAGCCAGTGCCTTGGTCAAGGGCAGTGACTAGAGAATTAACCTAATATACATGTTTTGATGCTGGTGGAAACCAGAGCACCCAGTAGGAAACCCATGCAAACAAGGAAGGTGAACATGGAAACTCCACACAGTCCCAGCTGGGATTCAAACCTGTACTCGGACTTTCTTGCTGTGAGGCGAGTTGCTAAACACTGAGCAGCCGAGTTGAGGAGGAACATGCCACTTCTCCTCTCAACAGCCTTCTTTCTTTATTCGTAAATGAACAAAGTTAAGTTAACCTGTTTTATAACTAAGTGTATCAGTGCACCACCAAGCTGTTATTATCTAATGATAATTTATAGTCGCAGCTGCACATAATCTAATTTTAACTGTTTGTCTACGCATTTAGTAACATGCTGTTTCACTCAATCTTCTTATTAAATCACAAAGCTAAAGAGTGCCACTGACCCTACTAATGGGCTCAGTGCTGATGAATCTAATGCATAGAAATGAGCCGGTGTTGTTGACCCGGTGTGCAGCCTAACAATGACTAATGTGCAGGGGCCGCTAATGAGAGGACCATCTGAGCTTACAGGTAGAGGAATTATAACTGCTGCTGTTACGGCACAGTGCAATGAGACGTTGAGTCGTACTGAGAGAATTTCTTTTGAATAGCAATATGCCCTTACCTCCCTCACTTATCTTTGCTGATGGAGCATGGGAACGTGATAAGGTAGGACTTGAGAATATGTGAAAGCAGACTTATCCTGAACAGCTGGAAGGCTAAAGACTAAAGTCTGAAATAGTTCAGAACTTGCATCATAACAACAGCATGATAATAAACCTGTTTCACAGTCCGTTTTTAAACTTAATATATTCTGGATTGAGTTGTGTTTGGAAAGCAAAATGTTCTGAGATCTGTTGGCTTTCGTCCATGTATACAATGATGGATGTTTATGCTGCAGCTGAGCCATTGTCCCTTTTGTCAGGTAGAGGGCAGTAGAGATCTTGGTCATGTAGTAAACCTGGCCAGGACCCTGTTCTGTACATTTTTTTTATGTGTATCAGTGTTGTTTACACTGCACACACAAAAAAAAATCCATACTTATTAAAAGAAATAGTGCACACTGTCTCATTTATACAAGCACGTAAATGAGCAATAAGACGTTTTATCAAAATCTCATACACACACACACAGCTACACCATTCATAACAGTAGAATGGAGCGCAGCTGAGCTCAGACCGAACGCCCCCTGTGCTCCTGCTTTCATTTTAAATGTCAGCAACAAAAATGACAGCTTGCCTGTGATTTACATTGGTGCCCTTTTAAAAAGCCTTGCTGGAGTGATGAAGCTGGCTGTCGGTACAGGAAATTCTAGCCCCACAAAGACATCAGCTCTGCCAGTGAGGCGGCCAGCTTGGTCTCAAGGCAGCCACTGTGGAGTGTGCTGTGTGTGCACTGAATATAGTATTTCCATTCAATGACTTTGGATGGCGCACTGGGGATGAAGTAGGCACATTTGTTCATGGACTGCTTGCGGTGATCTGGGTGGGGTAGGATGTTTATGGTGTATGTCTGTGCATACCCTTATGTTTCATGGTCCCCCCCTCCTCCCCTGCTCTTTATCTCGTTATCGCCCAACAGGAGGGTGGGGCCGTGTTAAATGAGCAGAAACCCAGGAGAGCACTGGGAGTCAGCTGTTCAGAGATGCTGATAGCTAGAGTTGCAAAAGAGAATGGGTGTGATATGTTCGCTCTGTGAATGGTATAACAACCCATCCATATACTTTTACTGCTTTGCTGCCAGATAGCTCATTAATAGAGCACATCGCTTCAGTTCTGTTTCTTCATTAACCTGAGATTGTACAATGCTATCAATATGTGGATAGAATCAGTGGTCTCTTACATAGATAATCGATAGAGTGGTATAAGAATTCTAAGCCATCAAAATCAATAGTTTATTAACCGTTCTAGGCTGCCGCCCATTCACTCTGAACTGTTGGTTGCTTTGTACCAGAAGCCGAGCGTCTCCTTTAGCCCTTTCCCACTGCCCAGTATGGGATGTTTAGCTATGTTGTGGCATGTTGAGCATTTCCACTGCTCGCTTTAGAGGAGGGAAGAACCAGACTGGCTCACGATGCATTGCTCTGTTTCGGAACAAGATGACCATCTCTGTCCTTCCAAGTTGTGTTGTTGCAGTAAACTTCCTGGTTTAACATGCATGATCATGCAAATGACCAGAGAAGAGGAACTATATAATGCAAGGTGGTCTGTTTCACTCCTACCATCCTGTTTTTACTTTCAACCAACCGGCAATATCCTGTTTTCTGATTTGGCTTACTACAAGTATACTTGTTCTCTGTTACTACTAATACTAACCGAACATGTCCTGCTGCTGCTTGCTTCACATTAAGAGCTTTCCATTGGTGAACCACAAGAAAGCTTTTACTGTAAAGCAGGTAGAGGGAATGCAGTGGTATTGGCCCTGACTGCTATTTCATAAAAAATGGTGTACACAGCGGTTATGCCAGTGCTTTTTGTCAGTGGATCAGACTTAATATGCCAAGAATTAGTAAAAGAAGAAGTAGCCAAACTGTACTAGTAAGATAAAGAGCTGTAGGCCACGTGTGTCAAAACTAGCCAACCATTTTCAGCTCTGGTCTTTTGACTGTGGATGAGGAAAAGAAAAGGTGGTGGTGATGGAAAAATGTCTGGGTATCCATTCAGGTAGCTCTTTCCCCGAGCGAGTGATTCTGGTGCCCGCTGATATGAACCGACTCATTGGTGCGACTGTGAAAGCTACAACCTGTGATCAGGCTCAAGGCTGTCGACTGTCAGTTAACTGTCAGATTTGTCTGTCAGGATCCCTGAAATAAGACTTTATTTCCAGGTATCTGGGGAATGGTTGTGAAGTCTGGATCTTTTTTTAAGTTTTTGACTTAGATGCCATAACTAATCATTGCCTGAAGGCAGAAAATGTACATTCTCTCACTGTTTTTCAAATGTTGTGTCACATATCACCATAGCAAATATTGTCCTATAACTTTCTTTAATTTGTAACTTCATTCAAAGTGTTTTACCAGTCTATCTTCGTGCCCTTTTCAGGACATACAAGAGTGGCTCCGGGGTCAACAATAGAAGAACGGAGGTTTTCCTAAAGGAGCACGAGCACCTGAGGAAGTAAGTTCCCACCTCCTTTCTTTGCCATATTTGAAGAATGTGAAGTAATCAAGACTCAACGTTTTTTAATTCAATCAGAGCAGAGTTTTTAAGGATATTTATTAGTTTTGGCATATAAATCCCAGCAGTTTAAAGCAGAATATAGCTGCCATTTTTCCAGAGCTGTACAGCCTTTCCTGGCAAAGCAGTAGCCTCAGCTTTCCAGAAATCAAAGCTGGGATAACTCATCTTAATGGTGCAGCACAGCCATTTGAAATAACACTGGTTACTGATGTTCGCTTGTCAAGCTCTGGCACTCCTTGGCACTTTACCTCTTTATGCTTTTTCTCTCCAGCAGATAGGAAGTCACTTTTTCACAATGTTACGTTCATTAATCTAGAGTTTGTTGTATACTTACATTTTTTTAACTCAAGTGCTTTCCTGGCTAGTTAGGACAAAAACCTTTTGTGCTTTACTTAACACCCTGTTGAAGAAGATATTGGAAGTAACAGGTTTAGATTTAGTTGTGGGGTGGACTTTTCACTTTATTTCTGTGACACATTATTCAAAGTAAGCTAATTCACTAAACATCTTTTGCACTCTATTACATAACTCTGCATCTCAAAGCTGTTAAGTTAGGCATACTTAGACTTTTCATTCTGACACAGTAGGTCAAACCGTGATCTGCCAGCAACCTCATTAGTGCCCTACTATCATTTGGCTGACTCTCGAGCACTGCAGAACAGCATGACGTAGCAACGTTTGCAAAATCTGTATGTGTGTACCTGTGTGTGAGAGGTGTGAGAGGCACCCTGTGTGGAAAGTAAAATTGGATGTCAGCAGGACACACACACAAAACTCACACACACTTGCACTCATACATTCAATCAAAATACAAATAAACCACAGAAGATCTTTTAACTTTGCTCAGGCTTGAATATCCCATCTGATAATTTGAACACAGCTAACAAATACAAAGCAGCCTGATTGATTCTCTCTTTGGCTAGATGTTTGTTTTCCTGTTTCAACCTCAAAGGA